TGATTCCATAATATAGGTGAAATATAGATCACACAAAAACACGTTTGATTGAAATAAAGGAACAATAATATTTTAGTAAATTCAGAATTTTCCTTGTGGTATTTTAAGTGTCTATTCACATAAAACAAATGTTATTAAAAATTACTCCTTACTGAAAATTATGGAAGATCCTTATGCTACCTGAATGCACCACGATTGGAAATCACAACTTATACCCATTACTTTTTCTACTTAGGATAGCTATAGTCCCTCTCCATTGAAAACTGATATCATCCGGGTACTTACCTTCCTCCTCTTTTACTTCCTTTCCTGTAGCAGCTGCCTTCCTTTTCTTGTTTTGAGCAGCATACAACAATATGACTTCTGCAAGTTTAATAATTTGCAGTCTGTTCACTCGATTAGTTTATAGTATCATCTAGAATTTTCTATTCTTGACTCTGAAGCATAGAGTTAGGACTCTTTTTCCAGCCTCACGTTTGTTTCTATATGAATCTTCACCTCCAATTAAAGTGTCCAGGCTCAGTTTATTCAAATTATTTTCAGAATTGGAAATTGTGATACCACTTTTCCTCTCTTACTGCCATTTTTACTACTGCAGCCCCCATTTCTAAGTTTATATCCTGCAAGAGACCTTCCTGGACATCTCAAATTTTGAATGTTGTATAAATAATTCTGTTTCTGAATCGCTGTTCCCTTGAAAGTTAATCCTTATCATCTCCATGTATATAGAACGTTATTTTAAGCATCGGAATTAGTACTTGAGTATTTAAATTTGGCTAGCTCAACTTCCAAAAAGAAACTCAAAATGGAAGAATGGATCTTTCCTCTACTAGAGCAATCTGGTCACTAGTGTCTCAAACCATCATCTGGATGTCATTGAGACTTCATAGTCATTTCTGTAAGCTCATAATGGCCTGCCAAGGACTCCCAAGTGTGATAAACAAAGGATAACAACCAGAGATACAATATTGGATATTGTGTCTTTCATATGGTGTGACATTAAGGAGCTGTATAAACTTGATGTCAAGAGGAACAGCTTGGCCAGAAATTATTTTCAACTTTTTCCTACCTTCAGAATTTGTAGTGGGACCAATTCTAAATCATTAAGTGATGTTTGGGCCATTTTTACACCAATGATTAGACCAGAGGAATGTGTGTGAGTGTGGTTTTGTGCTATTGTAAATTTTGTGAAAGTACTGTCATGAGAATTTGTTAATTGTATATGCATATTTACTTATTTGTTATGCATTTATTCTATTGCTGGTTGTTGGTTTAAGTGTTACTTAAATTAAATTATGCAAGACTCATTTACTATATAATCAAAATATATACTCCATGTAAACACAATATACTGCTTTGATCTGAAAGACAATTTCACATGATTGTGGCCCTGTTGAAGTTAAAACTAATAGCTGTTCTTTTGATATAAGAGTCTAACCCTCAATTTTGTTCTTGTTCTTTTAGGAAAACCATAGTCTATTTTATTATTGTGTAGAGATAATCAGAATATGGGAACATACTAAAAAGCAAAACCCTGGTGACCAGTTCTAAATTAACCATTTTGATAATATTTTAGCCTGCACTTGATCACTTTTAAAATTTCTTAATGAAACTCTCCTTCATTAAAAAATATATTCAAGGGGCTGGGAAGGTGGCTCAGTGGTAGAGCATGCATGAGGTCCTGGGTTCGATTCCTCAGCACCACATAAGCAAAAAGAAAAAAAGCTGGAAGTGGCGCTGTGGCTCAAGTGGTAGAGTGCTAGCCTTGAGCTGAAGAGTTGAGGGACAGTGCCCAGGCCCAGAGTTCAGGCCCCAAGACCGGACCCCCCTCTCCCCCCCCGCTCCAAAAATATATATATTCAATTAATTCTCTAATTTTCCACTTATATTAAAATTTCATACTTAGATTTGTGAGGGAATGAATTTATGAAATTCTGGGATAAATACATATTGCCATATCACTGTATCTAAATTAATAAGAACATTTCACCTTCTCAAATCTTTTAGAGTCTGGTCTTACATTTAGATTACAGATATATGAGTGAATAATTTTTCAAATTATCTGAAATCTTTTTTGATTCACTAATTCTTCTCACACTTTACATGTGTCTATGTCAGTGTTACTTTTTTTTTTTTTTTTTTTTGCATCCAGGGAATGCAAGTCTTAGTGAATACAATTAATTAAAGTATTACACACTGCCTGGTGTCAGTGACTTTTGCCTGAAATCTTAGATACTTAGGAGGCTGAGATCTGAGAGTTGCGATTTGAAGCCAGCCCAGGTAGGAAAGTTTGTGAGACTCTTACCTCCAATTAACCACCAAAGAGCTTTAAGTGGAGCTGTGACTTAAGTGATAGAGCACTAGCCTTGAGCAAAAAAGCTCAGGGATAGTGTTTAGACTCTGAGTGCAAGCCCCAGGACTAACACCCACATACACATATGACACAAAATATTAATAATAATAATTCACAAAATGAAAAATATGTTGCCAAAATATTAAAAATGATATTTGAAATAAGAAAGAAACAAAAAGTAGACTGCATTCTTTTGGAAAATAAGTTCTATTTGGGATCTTGCAAAAAATTTTAAGGTATCTATAACTTTCCATTCTTGGTTTTAGAAGTGAGATTTAGACACCTCTCTGATTTGTATGTTTAAGTGAAACTCCTCATAATACCACTACTTTTGAAACAAAATGCTTATTTGTGATAGCAAAGAATGTATATAGTGAATGTCTTTACATTTTATCAACTTTATTTTCACTTGTAAATATTGTTAACACTTAAAGATGAGTTCATAAAACAGCAATGAACAAATCATGGCTATTTATATCACGCATTTTTAATTACTTTAAAATGCAGTCATGCACTGTTACAATAGAAAGGGCCCCAAATCACAACTGACCCAGGATAATGAGCAAGCTATAGCTTTAACATGAAAAGTGGGCCAGAAGACAATTTAGGGAAATGTGTATTTCTTCATGAATACTTCATGTTTCACTTATTCCTAAATGAATGTTCATTTGAATAACACCTATCAATATTCAATGTTGGAAACATGAATGTATGAATATCCTGTAAATGAATATATACATGGCCAAAATTTAATTTGGCTCTTTGTTATAAAAAACACAAACAAAACAACAACAGGAAAAATTACTGTTAGAATTACACCCTAGTACCATTCCCTATACACACAGAAGAACATTCTTTGTGGATAGTTATCATTGTCATTCAAATCCTGCTTGAATTTTTCAGAGTTTTATAAATGAGGTAAACTAAATTTGTTCAAAGAGCTCAGAATGAAATATATGTATATTGGGACGATCATATCAAAAAATAAGAATAACCATGCTAGAGTCTCCCCAAGTTAAGTATGAAAGGGAGCTACTATGTATATCTTTTTGTGAAGGAGTCTTCACAATAACAATGGTGTCAAATTCACATAAGAGAGCTTCCCTTTAAACCTTAATACCAGTGTTTACCATAAAATCCTTCACTGGAATAATCCTTTCTGGCACTGAAATAATTAAGAAATTATCAAGCCAATCTTGATTTCTCACAAAGTTTTGTGATAGCAAGGAATTCTAGATTTCTTGCAAAGAATTAGTATGTCAAACCACTCACAGGTTTGTAATTATTGAAGCCTCAGTTTAACTCTACACAGCTATAGAGATATTTTGGCAACTGTGTGCCTAGTAAGATTGTCTAGACTTTCCAGTCCTGTGGAAATTTAAAGAGCTTCCACATTGTGTTCAGTAAAAAATGTCTTGAAGTTTCCTCATTTTCTACAAAAGAGAGCAAATTAACAATTTATAATGTAGTTGTAAAAACAGGTTAAGAAACTAAGAGAGTGAAGAGCATAACATATGATAGAGAAATAAAACAATGTTCCCAATGTAACTGGTCTAAAATGGTTGATAATTTGTTTTTAAGATCTTATATTTAATATGACTTGCAATTTATCTTGTCAAGTGATCCTTTAACCACACAGTTAACACAAGCACCTTTCCCTGGTGGCTTTTGTTAACATATGCAATTGTAATGCCCCAAGAACCAATGATAACCTCTCTTCATTTCATTTCAGTGTTGGCATATTTTGACATTTTCATGACCAATTATATACTATGAGGCAGAAAATAAAATAGTTAAATGAAACATTATTTTTACTTTGTATTTTGATAAAATAACAAATGGTTGCCATTGACAATTGCAGGTCCTCAAACTAACTGTAGCTAGAGTGCCATTTCATATTCCACCACACAACAGATTGGATTAAAAGATAAAATACAGCCATTTCATAAAGTATATGTCATTGCCAACTAGTTGGACTTAATGATTTCACATTGTATTAATAAGTCATTATATCATTTTACCCTGTTACTTTGTACAACAATTTATGTTGTAATAGTCTCTTCACAATAAAAATTAAATTTAAAAAGAATTGAAACATAAAGTAGTTTCTTCTTGTGAGTAAAATAAACATCTTGGAAATTGATCCAAGAAAATCATGGCTTTTTGCTTTTAACAAGATGCATCCCAAACAGAGAGACCAAAACAAAACGAAATAACAAAAAAGAGCAAAGAAAAATCAAATGACCCACCTTTTCCAGGTCAAAAGTAATTACATAAATATTAGGCATTAGTTACTCATTATAAACAATGTTATCTATATCTAAGTAAAATGCATATTGAGATTATTTTATCTTTAGAATAGAGAATTTATTAAATCCCAAATATTAATATTATGCAATTAAAATAAAACTAAAGTAAAAATATAGAATAATATTTTCATAAATTGAATTTGACAATAGTCAATCTCATGACAGCTTAAATTAATCTGAAAGCTACTATTTATCTGTGAAAGTCTTAAAATAGCAATAGCAATTTTAAATTTTATCCTGTGGATTGTTTACATTTTAAATGTAAAATTCATGTGACCAAAGTACAATTAATGTTATTGGATTCAATAAAATTTCTTATGTTTTTTTGCCTATCAGAGGAATTTATAAGTAAAGATAGCCAACCCAGTAAACCAGATTAAATAGGGCAAAAGCTGTTGGGAAAAATATTCGCGAATAGGAGTCAATTTTGGCAATGCGAATGTGAATCCTTCCTTCCCTCCAAGATCCTGTTTTGCAGTCTTCAAAGCAGCAGAAGAAGCTGGCACAATCTTTGCCCTCCAGACATTGGTACCCATAATCATCTTCCCCTTGAGGCAGAGAAATGCTGTTCATTGGAATCAGAGTGGATCCAGCATGGAGACCAGGGGATACCTGAGACAATAACAAAAACAACTTGAGTAATCTAAGGAAAGATCCGTTTCACCCCTTTGAGGCAAACTCTAGGAAACCAAGGTGCAGTGAAAATAAACTTGAGTTCCAAATACCAAGCAGTCTCAATTAATGTTGATTTGGTTGAAGACTACAACTTGTTTTGTAACAGCTCTCCTTACCTTGCAAGATTTAGTAGAAAATAAATAGCCCTGAAAATAGATCATATTTTATACCTTTAGAAACTGGTCCATCATCACCAATTTTTGTACTTTGCTAAGCTGCCGGAATACTATTGAACCAAGCCTCAAGCTCACTTTTCCACTAGGAAGCTCCAGGATAGCTTAAGATGTCCATCAACAACACTGGGCTGGCAGGCATGTGCAACTCTGCACACTTTTTTTGTTGTTGTTGGTGGTCGTGGCGCTGTCCTTCAACTCTTCAGCTCAAGGCTATGCTCTACCGCTTGAGACACAGCGCCACTTGCGGTTTTCTGGTGGTTTATTGGAGATGTCTCATGGACTTTCCTGCCTGGGCTGGGTTTGAACCATTATCCTCAGATCTCAGCTTCCTGAGAAGCTAGGACTACAGGCATGAGCCACCCATGCCCAGCATGACAGATCTTTTGAAGAGGACATTTCAAAAATACTAGACTCCTAAATGTCAGGAAAGAATTGTTAAATGAAAATATGGGACAAATTGACCCATGGCTTTCCATGACTTTATCATTTAATATTTAAATAGCATACTTTGATATGACAATGCAAGTGAAAAAAATCCAAATTTGTTATCTAGTAATTTGAATTTTAGTTGCCAGAGATACATGTTGTATGTTACTCACTCTGTGCTGATTTTACTAGCAATGTGGTATGTTTATCAGAAGGTGTCAGTGCTGCATGGGAGAGGAGAGTAATGGTATTAGAATGCCCACAAGTGGAGAAACCCTGCTAGCAGAAAATTGAAATAATGATCTACTTTCTGGGGAACAAATTCTATTTCTATCACAGTGCCTCCTTCACAGATTTTTAATGACTTTCCATCTACCTATCTACCACCCCTCAATCCAAATTCATAAAATGAAAATCCTACATTTCAATAAATGAGAAATGTGAACCAAAATATACTGTACCTGAAAAATAGCCAAAGACTTGATTATATCAATAAAATAAAATACAGTTGAGGCCCAGACATGGAAACAATAATGATACAGTTCATTGAATGTGCTATTCTTTATTACTCCAAAAACTCACTAAAAATACAGCTAAACATTTTTAAAACTTGATCCCAACCTTCCCATTAATGATGTATATATCCAGTTAGTGTTATATACCATATTACTTGCGTATTAATAATCAAAATATACAGAGTATATTTTAAACATCAATGCATATGAATATCAATTATTATTAAGCATTGACAATGAAATATAAATTATATATTTATAGGTAATATTTATATAACTATTATTTATACTATGTTCTGATGACAGTAGAGACACTGGTAAAGTAAGTAGAAAATATTAGGCTCTTTAATATTCTGAAATAATGATTACTATTACTAATTTCCCATTAAAAACATTAACATGTGAATGCCAACCTAACAACTGGTTTTCTTCACCATTTGTACAACATCTTTTAAAAATATCAGCTCCAATGTTCAAAATGTATAAAATCTAGCCAGGTACTGGTAGCTTATAGCTGTAATCAAAACTACGAAGGCAGCTGAGACTTTCGGATGACTTTCAAAACCAGCACCCATAGAAAAGTCTAGGAGGCTTAGCTCTAATTAACCACCAAAAAGCTGGAATTGGAGTGATGGATCAAGTGTTATAATGACACCCTTGAGCAAAGTAGCTAAGAGAAAGCATGCTAGGTTCAAGCCCTAGTAACTGCATAAAAAATTGCCAAAATCTATATTTGTATTAAAAAAAAAACAAAAACAAGGCAGATCTTAGTGCTGAGGAGCTTATCTATTTGGTGTTAGAATTTGTGCTGTTTCTCAATATGAAAGAGAATATGGAAACAGACGAATGGATAAAGCATATATATGAAAAAACTGCCACAGAATGATTAGAAATATGGTGAAAACACAATCCTCACAGGAAAACAAAAAAACAGAAAAGGTTAGACTGTTATGAACTCTGAAAGATAGCTATTGGGCAGAGAATTTTCTTCTCCACTTGTTCATTTTTATTCTAATTATTCAAACACGTAATAGTGTTGCTTGAAATTTAGTTCATTTTAATAAAAGTTATTCCAGGATTAATCTGTTTTCATTTATCTGTGGTAACAAGTAGAAAGAGAAAGATGAAAGAATGACATTAAGAAGTCAAAATAGAGCAGGGAAGCTTTGGGTGGTACCCAGACGCCTGCAGAGGGGCATTTTAGGACCATTGTTACACTGGCAGTAAGTGTTTATTCTGTCACTTCAAAGCAGCCCACCACTTGCTGACATTTTGCAATTACTTAAGGAGCTGCTGCTTTCTCCTCTTCCCCCTCCCTCCTCCTCTTTCTCCTCCTGTTTCTCCTTCTTCTCCTCTTCCTCTTCCTCTTTTGGCTTATTTTACATTTTACAACTGTCATATAATGTCTCCTGGTATCTTTGCCAAAAAACACATTTAAGGTAAAAATAATAGAATATATGAAATTATGCTGTTTTGTTATGTTAATACCTTATCTGAACTATAGATTATGTTGCTTTACATAGATGTGTACTTAATGGAAAGTACATCATTTTGCAGGGAAGAGGCTGAGGTGGGAGTGGCGCAGAAGACACCTTCACCTAGCATTGTCACCCAAATACCTAGCTTATGGCTGTCAATGGCATGCTATTCCTTGCAAAATTTCAGTCCATCTTTATCTCTCTCTTTTGCCATTCAAGTATATTTGCCATATTACTTCAAATTATCTTTCCAGCACATAGATGCAATTATGTCATTCTGCGTGGCAATGCTGATAGGACAAAATTAGAAGTCATAACATAGTTCCTATTTTCTGAGCCACCATAGCTTAATAGAACTTTCTCCTGACATAGATGTCTTATAGTTGCATTCCAATATGGAAGGCAATTACAAAAGGTGACTATTGAAGACTTGAAATCTTACTTAATGCTATCAAGGTACTGACTTTTAAATTCTATTTTTTAATAAATATATTTTTATTGTAAAAGATACTGTACAGAGAGGTTACAGTTACATGAGTAAGGTAATGAGTACATTTCCTATCAAGCATTTTTATCCTCTCCTTTGTTTTTCCCCTACCATCCCTTCCCTCCCCACTTCCCCAACTCCTCCCTTTCCTGCCCCCAAAGTTGTAAAGTTCATTTTCAACATGTCTTGTACATCTCATTGCTACTATGGGTCAACCTGTATCCTTGTTTCAGCATTTTGTTATTTCCCTTCCCCTTAACCTGTATTCGTTTTCACCAACCTAGCCTTATGTAACTGCTGGATACTGTACTGAATATTATAATCTGAAACATATACTAGTGTCCACTTTAAACTCACATCTAAGTCTCAACTCAGATCGCTGGCTGCTTCTGCCTTGAATAGTCTCCCTATTTGTCCTAAACACTGGAACTTATTTTTCAAAGAACTTCAACTATGTTATATTGTCTCTGAATATTTCTCTGCCAAACTACCTTTGGGAGGATTAGTTATATGCTTTATAAATGAATTTACACTTGAATTGAAAGGAAATGTTCCCATTCTTCTGTCACCCACATTTATTCAGATCTCCTTTCAACATTGTATGTAGGAATGGTCCCAGGCATATTTCAGGGTGTCTCAAACCTGCCATGGTCTCAAGCCATAAGCCAAGCTTTGTGGTATCTTCTCTCCATTTCAACAAGATGTGTGGCAACAACAAACATATTTTATGTTCTCTTAAATCAGATAATTTATCTTTTTATTTATTTTTAAAATATTGCAATTCTCAAAATATATGGGAAATCATCCATTGAGTTGTTCTCTCCATGGTCTCTTTCAGTAACTTTAGGTCCTTACATTGGGCAATTATATTGACCTTTTTAATCTCATTTATACATTTCCAATCTACCTTTTCACCACTAGACTTAAAGATCTATGAATACAGAGAATACATGCTCTATTTGTTTCCAAATTGTCTTGTCAATAATAAATTCTAATCAGTTTTAATTTAATTTAATCAAATTAAGAGCTTAAGAATAGGGAAGTTCTATTTTGAGATGAGCCTATCATGCTCCTGTTCAATCTATTATGTGATTTTCTGAGACTTCTACGGGTCTGTAGGCTGAATATTCAAGTATTTCTGTGAAGCTCTCATAGTTGGTAACCTCTACTTACTACTATTATATGTCTGTAGCCTTTACTTCTTCCACAAAAGATCTTGGTTTTATACTGTGACATAGTTAATGCAATTAACCTTATTTTTTAGATCTTCTTAAAGGATATAATCACAGAGATATATCTAAATCAATTTGTAATATGTAGTAAGGAATCTAACACATATTGAATGAAAACATGGAGCAAGTCAAATGTTATTGACACAATAAAGTATAAAGAAATGTCAAGAAAAGGAGAAGGTAGGGAGGAGGAGGGAGGATGGGAAGGGATGGGAAGGGTAAACAAAGGAGGAAGCTACAATGCTTGATAAAAAATGTACTCACTATCTTGCCCATGTAATTGTAACCCCTCTGTACAGTATTTTCACAATAAAAAAAATAAAAAATAAAAAAAAAAGAAAAGAAGAAGAGCTAGCCACTGGGAGTTCATGCACATAATCCTAACTACTCAACAAGCTAAGATTGAGAAAACATGGTTTGAATCCAGCCCAGACAGAAAAGTTCCGGAGACTCTAGGTCCAAAATGACTAGCAAGAAGCTAGGCTAGAGACCTGGCTTAAATGGAGAGAAGAGCAGTCATGAGCAAGCAAGTAGAATGAGCCCAAGTTCCTGAATTTAAGCCCTACTATTGCCAAAAAGAAAGGGGGGTAGGGGGAGGGAAAGAAGGGAGGAAGGAGAAATGGAGGAGCATTTTTAAGATGATTTTCTTAATGAGTTTATTCAACATAAAAATATCTGTTGTGTTCAAATATCGACCAAATATAAAGAAAACAAACCAGGACATGTTTTTGAATCCTAAGCAAATGAAAAGATGATAAAAGGAGATTTTAGTTTTGTTTAATGATGCTTTCAATGACTTTTCCAGACAAAGTATTGGTCATAGCCTGAAATAACTGAGACTAAAAATATGAGGAAATTATGTATTTTAAATTGTTTAGAATTTTGAGCCTCTCATCAAGATTGAGGAGATTAATGAGAAAAAGAAAGAGATAGAGGAAAGGAGGGGAATAAACCAGAGAGGTATGGACAAGATGTCACAGAATCTGAGTATGGATTGCACATGATTTTCTTGGATGATGAGAAGAAATAGAGGAATGCCACAAAGTCTTCAATGGGAGACGTTAAGTAACAATAAACAGAGCTAGCTGTACTTTGTAACAACGCGCTCTAATTTATCATACTAGCAAGACCATATGTCTGGACTGAGATCCAGATTGGAAGTCAAATTTGGTAACTGATCCAAGTATTTCAAAATGTCATTACTTGAACTCATAAAGCACATGGTTGAACCAAAGGAGAGTGAAATATGATATTTTGATATTATTAAAATGCTTTAGATGCTCATATAGTCAGTTACATTGATTGAACTTTTGTGACTTGCCATTTAGTACTTCATAGTGATTATTTAATTATTATTTCATGCTTTTCTTTTCCTTAGTATTTTGTGTCCTGAGTTTGATGCTATACTTTTGAGGAACAGCATACTGGGGATGGAACTGACAGCCTCATATCTGTTAGGCAAGCACTATACCACTTAAGCCAAAACCTAGTCCTTTTGCTTTTAGTTTGTTTTTCTGATAGGTCTTATACTTTGACCAAGCCCAGCCTTGTACCCAAGTCTTCCTGCCTTTACTTCACGTAGCAGGATTGTAACTAGGCACCACCATTGTATGGTTGTTTTTGAGATAGGGTTGTTTTGATTGCCTCAAAGCAAAATCCTACTCTTTCTGTCGTTCAAGGAGCCTTAATGTTTAAATGTTAACATTAAGTCTAAAGTAATAGTATTTATTTAAAACATGTCCTAAAATAATACCTAGTTTAAAGAAGTCCTTTTGTGATTGCTTGCTTTTCTGAACATTTCCTTTCCCAGAATTTTTTCTCCTGACTAAGTGTGTCATCCAGGACTGTGGTTAAAATGGCCAGATCTGAAGTCAAACTGAATGGCTGTTACCTCACAGTGCCCTTAGGAAACCAATATCACCTATTTTTTACAGAAGTGGGATTAAATTAGAAAAATCCATGAGAGAATACACATTGTCTGACTTGAATGTTATTTTTATTCTAAACTTTATTCTTAACTTTCAATTAATTTTGTTAAAAGCTAATTAATTGTTATTTTTATTCTAAACTTTCTTTTAGTGTATGTTTTTTGTAGATACTGTACAGAGGGTTTACAGTTACATGAGTAAGGTAATAAGTATATTTCCTATGGAGCAGTTACCTCCTCTTTTGTTTTTCCTCTACCATTCTTTCCCTCCTCCTCCTCACCTCCCTATCTCTTCCCTCCTCCCCAAGTTGTAAAATTTATTTTCAACATTCTGTCTTGTACATCTCAATGTTATAATGGCTCAACCTGTATCCTTATTTCAATTAACCCCCTTAAAAGAGCAAATAATTGGAGGCAGTAAGTAAAGAACTGTAAATGAAAATAGGGAGGAATTGGAAAATCTAAATATGATCCAGAGCTTTTATTATAGACAATTGGTATTAAAATATTTTATTTTAATCTAAATATTTAGCAATAGATATTAAACTTTGTCCATTTGTGGATCATACCATGATCCAAATATGATCTATAAAATGAACATAAAATAATGCCACGTGAGTGATTCACAGTCTGTTTGTATACTGCCATTTATTCAAATTGTACTGCCAGAAATATGTTCTGCTTTCTTGAAATATTGTTGGGAACCAATCAAAACAAAACCTGTCAGGCTTTGCTCCTTGGAATATAACATGAAGAGTAAAATATGTTATAAAACTATCGTAAAGTTTTATAAACTGATGAGAAATAGGAGGTACAGACAAAAAAAAAAAAAAAAGAAGAAATGTCAAACCCTAAACCTTAGTAAGTTACTAGCATGGAAACCTTGATGATTTATTGTAAGATAAGCTATATGATCTTCTTTGAAAACATTTACTGAAACTAATTATAAAGTGTCTTTATTTTAATTTTGGAGAACTACAGTACTACATCTCTGAATTGCATGAGAATAGCTAAATAAAACAGGATACAAGTCTTGTCTGGTGGTGTGGCTCAAGTTGTACAGTGTCAACTTGGTAAGTACAAGATCTTGAATCCAAACCCTAGTTTCACCCACAAATGAGTGGGAACAGATAAATAGCTTGAGATCTGGCACTGAGAATGATCTATGTCTGAATCATGGATCTTCCAATTGCTAAGATGTTCTTTCACAAGTCACTGAGCTCATGCTTGTAGCATTGCTGGGAGTATAAAGGAAATTGTGCATGTAAAATGCTCAAAGGGGTGCCTGGAACACTAAAATATTATATGAGTCTATCAGGTTGCTATGATTGCTATTAGGAAAAGAAATTATGGTCATCATCCACTATTTCAGCATATTACAGTTCATAAAATTGGTTTGAATACAAAAACGAACTTTACAACGTTGGTGAGGGGGGGGGCTGGGGGGGGGAGGAAGGAGAAGGATTGGGATTAGGGGGGGAGGGGGGAGGCTGGGAAGGGAGGTGAAGGGTAAACAAAGGAGGAGGCTGCAATGCTTGGTAAGAAATGTACGCATTATCCTGCCCATGTAACTGTAACTCCTCTGTACAGTATGTTCACAAATAAAATTAAATTAAATTAAAAAAAAATTTTCTTACTATATAAGTTAAAGCAGATACTAGAAGATTAGAAAAAAGGAGTAAAGATGTACAATGTCCAAAAAAAAAAAAAAAAAGCCTCATTACCATGACATTATGTTCTAAAGTAGGTCAATTTTAACATTACTGACTGATGCTAATCTCTAAATACAAGCCAAAATTTTCAAAAGCAAACCCTACTACAAAACTGGATAGGAGAGAAATGTTACATGAATGTTTTAGGTGCAGAAACTGTACTACTTAATGGAAATTTGTTATAGTATATAAAATCCTTTGCTGCAAGGAGACCCAATAGAAGATATTGAGGTAACATAAATAAATTGAGTTCTCTCAATGGAGCAATGCTTAGTACTTTAGTTTCACCTTGATTTTACTTATCTTCTGTCATAGACCCCCAATGTCTATTTACCTAAGAAATATAACACAGATATTAAAAACAGAGTCATCAAGGAAATTAGATTTCATGAATCAGATTTTTTTCCCCTTAACATACCGAAGCCTTGTTTTTTAGCTTTCTGTCTCTAGTAGTTTTCCCTTTTTGGTTGCTGGTAAAATAATGTAAGGTTCCATATTCCATCAAGGCTGCAAAGACGAAAATGAAGCACACAGACACAAAGAGATCCATGGCGGTCACATAGGAAACCTTAGGTAGTGACTTTCTAGCAATCGTACTCAGGGTTGTCATGGTCAACACTGTAGTGATACCTGTGTAGAGAGGATAAAAAATATAGAAGATTGAAAGTATTTTAACAGATATTTTTATTCTTCCAATCGCTTTGGCAGTAAAACTGAAATAAACGAAAATAAATCCTAGAAATCCTGGATATGATTGCCAGTGATTTATAAAGACAGTTGCTGGTGACCATACTGCTGGCATTATGTTCAAAGCACTATTGCCTGTATGTGTAAAGCATAATCATTTCAATTACTGTAGATTGCAAGTTTATTCCCTATACCCATCCTTCCTCTTCAATAGTAACAGCTGGTAAGTAGTTGCCTGGAAGCACTTTATTTGTCACCTCTGTGCAGCAGACTCTGACCACTCAATAAGAAGAAGAGCTAGCCATGAGGATCTAAGTCAGGAATTAAAGTGATGTCTAACCAGTGCCATTACACATAGGAGAAATGTCCTGCCTTCTCTCATTAGTGTTCTGCAGAATACAATCACTGAAACACGAGCAACTATCTTAGACTATCTTCCCATTGCTGGAAATCTACAACACAATATAAAATTAGAAGGTGCCTGAATTCCTCTTATGGCTTTATGTCATATCTCTAGCATGTTATATCATCTACCTGCCTTTGCTTGCATGTGAGAAACAAATGGCCTTTTGGGAGTGATAGTGAGTTAAGGTGCTCTGACATACACATTTAAAATTAATTGGTTTTCTTATATGAAAACTTCTATCAATAGATACTATTTTTATAATATTTATATATTTTAAAAATAGATAATATTAAGTCCGGCACTGGTGGCTCATGCCTATAATCCTAGCTACTCAGGAAGCTGAGATCTGAGGACTGCTGTTCAAAGCCAGCCAGGGCAGGAAAGTCCCTGAGACTCTTATCTCCAATAAACCACTAGAAAACCAGAAGTGGTGATGTGGCTCAAGTGGTAGAGCGCTCGCCTTGAGCTGAAGAGCCCAGGGACAGCGCTCAGGCCCAGAGTTCAAGCCCTATGACAGACAAAAAATAAAATAAAATAAATATAATATTTTTAAATCCCCTAATTTAAATAAAGAATTCAAACATAATTATCACAGAGAAACAACTCATTCGCACTGAGTAAATATTTGTATTTGTTAAGAGTTTGTCATGTTTAACCAGGTGTAGTGGCTCAGACCTATAACATAGTTACATAGGAGGCAGAGATCAGGAAGATAGCAATTGTGGACATCCCTGGAAAAAAGCTGGTGAGACTACCACAATCAATAAAAAATGTAGTCCTGGGCAGGAGGTTGGGAGGGGAGGCTGCCATTTAAACCTTACAAGATATGTAAATGGAAGGACCAAAGTCCAGCGGGCCTAGAGATAAAGCAAGACCCTATTTGCAAATAACAAGAGTAAAAAGATCTTGGGCCTTGGCTTATGCCCTTACAAAGTGCATGCTTTGTAAGCATGAAGCCTGGAGTCATACTGAAAAATAATAACAAAAAGTCAGTGAGAAAGCAAAAGAAAAAGAGAAAGGAAAAGATAAAAGAAGTAAAAGAAACATAATAATCTTGTTTAATTGGAATACTCCAGAGCCACATCAGTCACTGTCCATTTTTAGAAACATCTGTCTCTCTTTAGCTGCTAGCCTTGTAATTCTTGTAACTATTAGTGTCAGATCATCAAAATTATAGATCCATTTCTATGCCTCTTTTAATATATACCATCATAACTCTCATTCTTTATCTTAAAAAATACGGCTCGGGGGCTGGGAAGGTGGCTCAGTGGTAGAGCGCTTGCCTTGCATGCATGAGGGCCTAAGTTCAATTCCTCAGTGCCACATAAACAGAAAAAAAAAGCCGGGAGTGGTGCTGTGGCTCAAGTGGTAGAGTGCTAGCCTTGAGCTGAAGAGCTGAGGGACAGCGCCCAGGCCCAGAGTTCAGGCCCATGACCGGACTCCCCCGCCCCCCAAAAAAATATATATGGCTCTATGAATGAAATTCATAGCACTCTCTTGGGGGCAGTGGGGAGGGAGGAGTGGGGAGGTGGGGAGGGAAGGGATGGTAGGGGAAAAACAAAGGAAGGGTTAACAATGCTCAATAGGAAATGTACTCATTACCTTACTCATGTAACTGTAACCTCTCTGTACAGTATCTTTACAATAAAAAAAATGTATGTTAAAAAAAGCACCACATGAAATGCCAGTGTTTCTTGATCAATATTGCAAGATCTTTGAAGAAATAAAGAAATAGAAAGCTCTTAGCTTTCCATTCAGTCAGAGCCAAGGACATGTGTCCTACCACCTCTCACATGCATGTCTCTGCTTCAATGATTCATAGGACTGAAACAAACAAATGACAAAACACAGGTATGAGGAACATGGAATGATCAAGGCAAATGTAGGTTCAGTCTGTCTCTATTATCAATTAAATTTGTGACTTGAAGGAATTTCCTCAAATCCTCTGTGTCTACCATCTATCCAGAAGGGTTTTGCTAGGTTCCTACAATAAGTAGATCTAAAAAATGTATTTATTGTCAAAGCATAGAGACTATTGATTTTAAGATTTCATTTTTTCTTTATTTTTATGTATTAAAAACTAAAATTTGCCCCCTAAGTTTTGCATTCACAGTGCCCCACAAATGTTTTTAATGTTTGTTTATTTATTTAGTATTCTAAATGTTTATGTATTTATGTTTATTTTTATTATTATTCTATAGGTGGTGTACAATGGGGTTATAATTACACAAGTAAGATAAAGAGTACAGTTCCTTTTGAACAATATCACCTCTTCCCTTCCTCTCTCCCAGTTTTTCCCTCCTGTATTTGCACACACGATGTATAGTTCATTTTCAATGTAATGCCTAGTGAATATCACTGTTGCATTTGTTTGTTCTTTATCCCTCCATTTCTCTGTGCCCTTGCTTGCCTTCCCAATGACAGATAAATGAATAAATGAGACAAAAGGAAAAGAAAACAAAAACAGCAACAAAGAAAGCTCTTGTTTCCATTTCTTAGAATTCACTTCATTAAATACGATTTTATATGATCTGATACACATAGATTTTGTGCCTTTGTGATTTTCTCCCAAGAATATCCTCCTTTGATCTTTCTGTGTGTGAATGCCTAGACACCTGTATAATTTACCATGCATGTGTCAGCCCAGTTAGAATGGTCATTACCAAGGAAACTAACAATAACAAATGATAGTCTGAATGTGGCCAAAAGGATGACTGTTGGTAAGAATGTAAACTTGTTCAACCTCTCCAGAAAGCAGTATGGAGGTTTCTTAAAAGACTAAACATAGAACTTCCCTATGACCCAGGAATTCCAATCCTGAATATCCAATAGACCACAAATATGGCCACACTAAAGCTACCAGTACAACCATGTTCATTGCATCTTTGTTTACCATAGTCAGGATATGGAATCAACCAATACATATATTTATATTTTAAGTTCTTATCAAAATTTAGCTTGTTATATTTTCAAATTTCTTTTTGCTTCTCAATTGATCCGAGGGTCTTCTAAAAGATTTTTTGAAAAATCTTAAAATTCCAATTTTGAAAGGTCACTATTATAGTTTTTTAAATATCTTTTCATTACTTTCATTTTGTCAGAAAACATACTGATAAGATTTTATCCTGTTGGATTTTATTGAAATCTCAGTTAATATTTTATATGCATTTGAAAATTACTTGCATATAAAAACTTACATTAACTGAAGTAAGCCAGGCCTAAAGAAACACAGGTCCTATGGTTTCCCTTATTTGCAGTAACTAGTATGTCTAGGACAAGCAGAAAAGATCAAAACCTAGGTACATATGACCATATAAGACGATGCTAAGTAAACTGAACCCCAAGATAGAAACTGGTTTTAGCTTTCTTGCTGCTGTTTTTAATGTATTCATAATGTACCATGTGATTTTTTTGTTTCTTTTGTATGTTCTTCCCCAATGGTTTAACCCCGGTTTTCACTGTATTTGATTCTGGTGTCCTGCATCTTGTATATACATTTTTTTTCTAATTCAGGGAATGGAAAATAATTTAAAAATGCTGAAATAAAAATACAGGTGACTCATTGTAACAAGGAGATGTACAAGACACTGTGGTGAAAATGAACTTTACAACTCCTAGGGGGGCAGGAGGACTGCCCCCTGGGGAGGTAGGGAGGTAAGGGATAGTAGGGGAAAAACAAAGGAGGAAGTAACAATGTTCGATAGGAAATGTAGTCATTACCTTACTCATGTAACCCCTCTTTACAGTAGTTTTATTATAAACATATATATGAAAAAATCCCCATGCTATCAGTCAAGGGAAATGATGATGAACTTCAGCTTTCTTATATTTACTATTTCAGTTCAGTAATTACCATCACAGCAGCTAACTTGAGAAGCTTTTGGTGGATTTTGTATGAGACACTTCTGAGTCTACATTAATAAGATATAATTTGTCATAGTAACATTAAAACAATTGAAAATATTGTAGTTACTTCTTCTATAGCTTCCTCTCCTTAAGATCCTCTAACAGTATCCCATCACCTGCAGAATAAAATCCAAGATTTTAAAAATGGCAAAAAAGACTTGCATGATCCACCCTTATATATTTCTCTTTTCCAAAACTATGAAGCCAGCTCTAGACACAGTTATCTGTTTCCTGAACATCAAACATGACATCAAAGAAACATCACACTTTAGATCTATGAGCATCTTCCTTCCTACCTTACCCTTTTGGAAAATACCCAGGTTTGCCAGCACTTGATCAGGTAACTGTTCACCTTCCATTCCCTCAGAGAGATCTACCCAACTTCTGAGCATGCAATCACAAATATCATATCCACCCAAATTCCTTCTTTTTCTGTACCCGTATATTTTTCTTTCTTTTCATAGACTTTTTTCACTCACTGAAGGCTAAATGATTCTAAAATCTGGGTATTGTGTTTTTCCCACTAACAGGCATTACAAACACAAACATTTTACAACTTTTATCCCTGTTAACAATATAGCACCAAAATTACAGATGTTTTTGCAGGAAGCATTTGATAAAAGTTTGTTTAAAATGTAAATTGAATAAATAATCTCAGAAAACAATAATTTAATGATATATGTGGAAAATTATGCATATACTGCTATAAAAGCCTTGATTTTCTAACTTATAAGACTCACTATTTGAAGAAGTATTCCTAAACTTAGACATGGCTAAGCTTATCTTTACAATTAAAATGTTAGTGTTGAAAAACTATGAGCTATCACAAAAACACAATTCCACAATTGACCCTCTCTCCCTCCCTCCCTTCTTCTCTCTTTCTCTCTCTCTCTCTCATTATAGTGTAGCATATGACTTCATGCAAAACCAATAGTAGAAAGTGATCCATTCAAATTCCCTTTGGAAAAAAAATGTAAGAATTAAAATAAAAGACCATGTTTATGTTATACCTTAAGAAGCCTACAAAGAAATGATAATACTCACATATTTTAAAACCTTGAACAATTTGAAACAGATGAAACACAGCTAGTTATATCAAAGCCATGCTTGGATTTCCAGGGAAAGTGTTTCCAAGTATAAACCTAAAGGTTTCAGGTTCTATTCCTATCACTTTTATGTAATTTCCGTTTAATGACATTTACTAAATGGAATTATTTACTAGCTGCCACCTGGAAACCTCTAGCTAGAAAACCACTGTATCACTGAAACTAGTTGTTTCAATTTTTTCTCTGCTTTTTAAATTATTATAATCAATCATGTGATCCATGATAACACTAATCTGGAACATCAATCAATTTATTAACCAGTGGTTACATTCTTTTAAACAAATATATAGTAACGGTTACTTTCTTTTAAACAAATGTATAGTAACTAACCACTTTTTAAAAACACAATTTGATTATTTATATAAGGGAAAACAAAAATCAATTTTTCTCAAGCCTAGCTTATGCATTTACTCAGTTATTGTTCAAGAAACTCATAAATATTCAGTGCTTACACATTTTACACTTTACAGATTCAGATTCCAGGAAGTTATTTTAGCTTGTCCTTCATTGGACTAGGTAACAATTCATTTGAAATACTATAAAAGGAAGAGATTTCAAGTTCAACCAAATACGTAATGGGAAAGAATTTCTGATTCTTTCAAATTCTGTTAAATCATTAAAGAAACATTCATGAAAAGTGATTTTACAACAATGAGCAAAATGAGATTTAAAGATGACATATGCTTTTCATGTATAAATCTATATATACCTTTGCTTCTTCTGACATATATTATTAGGAAAAATATAATTTTTCTGATGTTTTCTGATTTTAATTTCTATATAATTTTTTAAGGCTCAGTGTTATTATACAATCTAGGATATTTGCTACCCTCCCTTCTTAAAATGCCAAATGCTGGGATTACAGCTATGAGCCACCACCAAACCTAGCTTGCAGTGAATTATTACATATTTCTTTTGTCATGGCCTTGCATTAGTTTCTAGCCAATGGTTCCATGATTGTAGTGTAGGAAAATATTTTAACATATGTATCTATGAACTTGGTCGTGGGGCTTGAACTCTGGGCTTAGATGCAGTCCCTGCGCTCTTCAGCTCAAAGCGAGCATTCTACTGCTTGAGCCAAAGCACCACTTACAGTTTTCTAGTGTTTTATTGGAGATAAGAATCCCACGGACTTTCCTGACTGGACTGGCTTTGAACCACGATCCTCAGATCTCAGCCTCTTGAGTAGCTAGGATTACAGGCGTGAGCCACTGGCTCCTGGCTTGAACTTTTATTAAGTTAAAATGTTTTTCAAAGTCTATGATACAATTCATACGATACAATATGTACAATATTCCATATCATACCTAGTGATGTCCTTGCAGGCACAGCATCTTTATTGATCCAAAAAGACACCCAGGAAAGAACAACTGTAAGGATGCATGGAATGTAGGTCTGAATAGTAAAATATCCCATTCGTCTGCTCAGGTCAAAGAAAATTGTCATGATAATATAATCCCCTGAAAGAAAAAAATTATTAGAGCTAGAAAATATTCTAACCCATATATTTAAATTCCAGTTCCATTTAGTGCTAGGACCATTCATTGATGTATGCTTTCTCCCTTACCAGAGATTGTGTGCGAGATTTCGGTGGAGTTCCGTAGCCCTACAAATGCAAACTGATATAACCTCCAGTATTTTGGATCAGCTACTTCTACAGATGGCTTTTTCCACTTATACTGAATTTCATTTTTAGGATATCCATCTGGAGGAATAATAAAAACAAATAGTTGAGCAAGATCTTGAAAAATTACCATCTCACTACTGTTATAAGTAAAACACTAGCCTTTGGATATTCTACATTCATTTATTTTTATGACATTCAATATATAGAAAATATTGGCTGAAATTATAGATATACACAGTTTAAAGAACAATCATGTAACAGTTATTTCTCCTAGGCATAATAATTTTGAGTATGACTTTTCTTCGTCACCCCTTGGTGCTTTGATGGGAAAGAAGTTCTTCATCATATTTGTGCCCCCAAGACACTGACTCTATAAGAGGGGCTGTAGTAGATCTCTTGCAAATATATCTGTCATGATACTAAACATTCTTCATATTTTAGTGGATCGGTAGGTAATTCCATATAAACTATCTGTTCCTAGTATGTTTATTCCATTGGTGCCAAAGATATATTCAAGAATGGATGAATTGGCAGGCCATCACAGCTCAAGCAATATCTCGCCAAGATTTAATAAAGGCACCTAGAGGAGAGTGCAATGACTTGTACATCATTACATATTTATATGTCAACTACTTCCTGAGTATTCCCATTAATCAACACCTTGTTTTGATGTGGCTGATTTATGTATTGAAGTTAGCACTTGAAAATCAATGAAGTGAGATATGAGATCATTAATATAAGACCATGTTGTGATGAGACAACATCTATTAATATAATCCAAGAAAATCTTCAATCAACTTGACAAAACATAGTTTGGAATTAAGTAAGTGAAGAGGTGTGATAACACTTATGACTGGTTATGTTATATTTACTGGGGCTAGGTTCCAGAAGGTGAACTTTGAAGAAAATCAAATTTTGAGAGGATAGGAACAGTTGACATTTGGGGAATAGGCAATAGCAAATTGGTAGTCATTTTACATTTTTCCTAAGGTTTAATTGTGATGGAGATGTATATGTGAGCATAAATACATTAGTAAATAGGACTCAAAATAAATATTGTAATAACAATATAACTACTTCTTAGAGAAAAATGGCATGTCTTTATATTCAAATCATTATTTTAATTACTTATCTACTTTGCATTATTCAACAATTAAATAAGCTCAGTTCTACTTTAGTTTTTTTAAGTCATGATAGGTCTCTTAAAATTTGCTATTCATGTACTGAACACTGTTAACAAAAGCTATTTTTTTTTTGTAGGTTGTGGGGCTTGAACAGCCTAGGCACTGTCCCTCAGCTCTTCAGATGAAAGCTAGTGCTCTACCACTTGAGCCACAGCACCACTTCCAGTATTCTGGTGATTTATTGGAGATAAGAGAATCACAGACTTCCTGCTGCTGGCTTTGAACCGTGATTCTCAGATCTCAGCCTCCTGAGTAGTAGGATTACAGGCACAAGCCACTGGTACCCAACACAAAAACTAATTTTTTAAACATATTTTAAAGTCTCATGAAATAAAGTCAAATGTTGTCTCAAGAAAGATGAATATAATTTGAATCAAGTTTTATTCCGGACAGTGTGAAAACATTTGAATACAAGCCTGTCTTTAGGACTCTCAATTATTTAAAATAAGGAGATAACATAATCCTAAAACTAAAAGTTATGAAGATGACTTAATAAGGTATTTGCTTTCATTAGACATTCATTGCTCCTTTCTTATTTGAAAAAAGAAATATACTATTCATAATTATGCAAGAGTTAAAATCCATACTTCTGAAAATTATGTTTCCCCATATTTTTACATTTTATTTTTAAAGATAAAATAGATAAAGCTAAAGTTATATAACAATTAACAAGTGTTTTTTAATACTTACAGCTAGAAAATTCCAGTGGACAGGAGTGTTCATCCATAGGAAAATTGTGAAGTTGGAGGTAACATTCAGCATTTATTGTCAGTCTGTTTAGGTAGAAAAATAAATAAATAATAAATTTTATTCATTAAAAAATCTTATTTTTATTTTATTTATTTTATTTTTTTTACTGTTTTCTAAATTTTTTTAGGACAAATATTTTTCTTTTCTTTTCTTTTTTGTGGTGTTTATGTGGTGCTGAGGAATCGAAAACTGGGCCTCATGCATGCAAGGCAAGCGTTCTACCACTGATCTAACTTCCCAGCCCCTAGGACAAATATTTTTATAACAACAAATAAATCATATACCGTAATAAAAATCAGTCAATCAAGAAAATACAACAATCATAAATATGTATGCATATAATAACAGGGCTCTGAAATTCCTGTAGTAAAATTTACACTGTTGAAAGAAACAAAATAGAGAACAGAAAAAATATAAATAGCCAGGTGCTGGTGGCTCATGCCTGTAATCCAATGTACTCTGGAGGCTGAGATTTGGGCCCGCTGGGGCAGGAAAGTCCATGAGTCTCTTACCTCCAATTAACCACCAGAAAACCAGAAGTGGCGCTGTGGCTCAAGTGGTAGAGAGCTTGCCTTGAGCTGAACAGCTGAGGGACAGCCCCCAGGCCCACAGTTCAAGCCCCACAGTTAACAACAACAACAACAAATATAAATACAATTACCAAAATAAAAAGTAGATCCTTTGATAAGAAACAAAAGAATGGCCGTGTTAGGGCTTGAATATGAAGTACCCAAAAGGGCACTTTGTTCCCAGCTTGATTCCCAATTTAACAGTGTTCAGAAAGGGGGCTCTGGGGAGGCAATTGCATCATAAAGGTTCTGACTTCAGCAGTAGATTGATCTATCGATAGATTAATAATTTGATGGTACTCTTAGGAGGTTGTACAATTAGGTTGAGCCTAGTTGGAGGAAGTAGAGTCACTGGAAATGAGCCATTGAAAGATACATTTTGTCTACCTTGTCTTTGGACTCTCTCTCACTTGATACCTAATGAGAGGACTAGAAGGCAAAATGTCTTAAGAGGCATCAGCTAAATTGAGGTTTTAACTGTTATTATAAAGGTGATGTACAGAGGGTTTACAGTTATGCCAGTGACATAAAGAGTACATTTCTTTTTGGACAATGTCACTCCTTCTCTTGTACTCTTCCAGTTTTTTTCCCTCCTGACCCAACTTAAAAGTTGTACAGTTCATTTTGATCATAGTATTTGTTTGCCTCTTCTCATTCCATATCTCTTGATTTTAAAATATGGTTTTGACCTACAATAGTAGAGTATGATGTGTTGGAATACCATGATAACTCTAACCATAATAATCAAGAAGTAGCAAGGTTTTCTGACATTATTATAAATTTTATGAATAAGTATGAATATTAGAAAATATTTATCAAAACTAGATCACCTTAGTGTATATTTCTGTATTATCTCTGTGGTTACACTTATAAATTCACATTTCATCTCCGCAGACATACACATGTTCCTAGATATGGCAGATTCATGCTTGGAACATGTTTAAATGTGGTGATTCAGGCATGAGCATTGCTTTTCTGAGTAGCTCCCTAAATTGCTCAAATAATAACAAGAACTTAAAAAGTTTATGCATAGCAAAGAAACTGACAGAGTCAAAAGAGAACTGACAGAATGGGAAAAAAGTTTTGCTAGTGACTCATCAGATAAAAGATGAATATCTAGAATATGTAAAGAACTTGGAAAGTAAAGAACCAAAGAATAATCCAAGGAATGAACAGCAAATAGATTAAACAGTTTTCAAATGAAGAACAAATGGTGCATATACATGAAGAAATGTTTACATCCTTAGCAATAAAGGAAGGTGAAAATCACAATCTCCTTTTGAGATTCCATCTCTCAAGTTAGAATGTCTATCACAAAGAGAACAGACAACAAAAAAAGCCAGTAAAGACAAGGAGCAAAAAGAACCCTCCTACACTCTTCTTGGGGATATCATTTAGTGCAGCCACCATAAAAACTAAAATGGAGATTTTTTAACAAAATAAAAAGAGATATGATTCTGTTATACCCCTCCTGGAGATAGATCTGAAAGAGTGTAAGTCAATATATAGTCAAGATACTGGCACACCCGTGTTGGGAAGGGCACTTTAAAACCTCCAAAACATGGTATCAACCTAAGTACCCATCAACTGATAAGTGGAGATGTGTGTATGTATGTGTGTGCATGTGTACAATCATGCTTTATATATTCAACTGTTATATTCCTATATTCTTAAGATATATTACTGCTTGGTCAAAAACCAGATTATTATAAAATTCTATAGCTGGATGGGTTTACAGAAAAATTTCTCAATAATTGGCTTCATAAGTTAAAGACATTATATTCATTCTACAACGTAGTCAGATAGAGAAGAATCAAACAATTTTTCTGCTTTGCTTCTGAATCTTTTCATAGCAATCATTTCATAATAGTAACTCTGCCCTTAAAAAGTATAGACAAACTCTTTATTATTTATTTATTTATTACTTTTTTAGCAAATAAAAAGAGCTCCCTAAGTCCTGATTTTCAAGTATGGAGAAGGAAACTTAAGAGCCAATCAAGTAAGAGTGTTGAAAATAAATTAGAGAGCTGGTAAATTTTAAAGCAATTTTACCTCAGTGTATAGAGAACTCGGCCATCATTCCAAATTCGCAGCAGGCGGTTTGGAGTTGTGATCCAGTGTGCGTCGGATTTTCTTGAGTTTCTGAAGAATGTATCAGGAATCCAAATTTTTCCAACCATGTTACTGTTAAGCATAAGCACTTTCATGGTGCTATTGAATTTTAAACGACTGTCAAACCAGGTTTGGGCAAAAATTATATCTATTGTGTATTCCTGAAATATAAATGGTACATTAGTCAAGCAGCTATGTTATACTTTTTTCTCAAAAATTTGAATTTCTGTATTGTAAATTTCCTGCAAGCAAATGTACTCACACTCTTATTGGCAAAAAAGAAACGTCTTTATCATACCTTCTGTTTTTCCTTATTTATATGAGTCACATAAAGTGAAATCCAAGATTTCTAATAATTTCAGCTGTCCTGTGCTTTCAATGTTTTATAAGATGCATAACATAGCTATTAAGGATATTATTTTATGTTAGCTATACTAATCTTGTGACATTTGTATCATCCTAACGTTACAAAAATAACGAATATAAAATTAAAATACAAATATCTAAAAATTATCAAAAATCTTTTACAGTGTCTTTATCCAAAATTTTATTTGTATTCACTAGTTTGAAATGTGGTTAACTCTCTGCAGTCTTATTGCATGATGATAACATCACAAACATTATGCTTATAGTTTTGCATTTTATTGTTATCAAGTAAGTATTCCTACCATCCTGTGAAATATGTACTAGTGTAGTATGTATTTTCAGTGTCATTATTGAGTAATAGGAAGGTAAATACGAATCTTTCCCATATCTCACAGCTGATACTCCACAAAAACTACACCTGAGCCATTACCAGGCTGTGTGGCACTTTCAGCCATCCTGCCCGTAAACAATGCTGCTTTGGAGATCCAATGGCTCTTAAATGGGAGCTATGATTTAGGTGACAGTCAGCAAATAACTATGAAGTGAGATTCTCATGATTCTGAATGAACTCTGGAAAGGAGGTTGTGAGGTATTATCCACCTTTGCATCTGACAAAACACCCTCAATACTACAAGCAGTAAGATTTATCTTTAAAATAGTAATGGACAAGAATGGAGAACTCTGTAGGTCTACAGAAGGTAATGTATATAATGTTGGCATGAGAAGAGGAAGGAAGAATAAATTGAAAAATAGGAGTTATATTTCAAAATATAGTATAACTATGTAAAAAGATGGCATTACGGACCTTGCTGTTAACAATGTGTTGAGGGCAGGAAAAGAGATGGCCATAGACATTTATTTTAACCAGAACAACCAATGAATTTCAGAAGCACCATAAAGAAAGACCTTGATGTAACTAAAACATTAGTAAAACAATGGATGACAATCAAGTAAAACAGGTTCTGTTGAGAATGGTGGGTGCCATCAGGGAAAAGGACTGCTAGCAAAGAAGGTCAATATGCATGAATATAGTCCAAGTAGTTTATTGATACTTATGAAAACAAGGGAATCTGTTGAAATTGTTTTGAGAAGTGAGAAGGGGACACAGGAGAGTGATGGAGGAGAGGAGGTGGATGGGGTACATTATTTGGATGTGGGGTGATATCACAATGGCATCCCCTTGTACAACTAATTTATGCTCATAAAAATGAAGTTATATACGAGTTGTTTATGACAGTAGAGACTGGCCAATTTAAATGTAAGAAAATATTTACTATATGAGCTGGAGATGTAAATAGAAGTTTGACTAACAAATGAAAATTTTAAAAAACAGTGCCAGGGGGGTTAATAAGTAAACAGACTCTGATTCAACTTATTAATAGGAGAGTTGGATCAAATTCTAGTTTGCCTACAGAATGTATATATATCTATATATCTATATATATATATATGTATATAATGCACTAAGTGAAATTCCTAGATAAATTCAGAAGGACACAATCTATTTTAAACAAGCAATGTTGCAATTTGGAAAACCACACATATTTTAATTAAAGTTCAAACAAGGGTATATAAGTTAGTGTGAAATATTTGTTTTATACTCAGATTGTACCACATATATATAGTATTATTGATAATTTGTGTGATGGTAGAATGTAAGTTTTCAATTATCTACTCAATTAGCACCTACTGTGTATTAGTTATGGCTTTTTGCAGGAGGAGGGGAGGAAGTGAAGTCTTTGTGAACAAAACTATTATAGATGACCAACTCTTTGCATATTTGTTGCCCTGATCAAACATTTTAGAAAGGAATACAAATACCATTTGGGTTTTTTGGATTCTTTTCCATTGTAATGTAGAATAGCACAGAATCTGTGTATTAAAAGCACTTTTGTAACCTTATAAAGCTTTTTACTTCCACTGTACAACATGGTTGATGTCATTAATGTGGATATTTGGAGCTGAAACATAATGCAAAACATATTCCACAATACGTGATAAACAGATTTATGCTAGAGGTACTTAATCATCTCAATAATACTAACAGAGAGGTGCATACTATGTGCATGCTTTCAGTAGGTATGAAAGATGTGTAAGTACAATATCACTAATATAATGTCACCCCACCTTAAATCTTGTGGAAAAACTTTTGTAATTATGCTTAATCCCTATCCTGGCTTCTTCCTTATGTCAGATATCCTTATTGATTTATTCAGAATCAATGATGATTTTTCTGAATAGTTTCTTCACTTGACACAAAAGCTTAGCTGTTCACAGACTAACTGTGCAACTGTGCTAAAGATAAGAAAACAGTTAATGTGGGAGGGAAGGAGGAAAATGGGGAAAGGGGTACCAAGTTAGACAAGAAATATAATCACTACCTTACTTATGTAACTGTAAACAATCTGTATATCACCTTGAGAATAAAATTTTTAAAAAGAAAACAGTGAATGTAAATAGAGAATATTCTTACTTATTCTATGACATATCCTGGAAAGAACATTTCATCAATTTTATCTGGAAGAATCAAAATGTTATCTGTCAAAATTAATTTGTGGATGGAATCAAATAGCTGTAACTGTGTAAATTACCAGCCACAATCATGACTTGGCAAATAACCAACATTGGTTGATAGAGTAGATCTCATATTACCTGGAAGGTAGATGGTGCTTCAGGCTTCCTAACTGGCATATTTAAGAACTATTTGTCAAGGATTAAAATTTTATAAGCATATGCAGATAATGCTCCATAGCAGCCAGGACCTTCTGTTTCTCCCAGTGCTAATGATCAAAGCCACAGCCTTCAAGGTAAGCAGTTCATCACTGATCTCCAGCCTCAGCCAAGAATTTTCTTTAGAATGCCCAATTATAAATATCCTCATCACTGTCTGGAAAGTTATAGTTTGCAAGGGGTCAAAATTTCCTGAACAAAAAATTGTGTAGAAAATGAATAGTTTTCTACACACAATTGCTCCCTTGATGTAAGATCAAAAGAAGAAAGGAGTCGAGCACTGTCTTGATAATCCATTTTTCTCAAAGTCCTGCAGAGGCTAATTCCCTCAAGTCTTTTAAAATTGTTAATCCTTAATAAATATCTCACTGAGATAGGAAAGTTAAAGTCTGTGCCATTTTATATGTAATCAAAGAACTCAATTTCATTTACTATTGCTATTAGTGTAATCTCCTGAAAAGGATCAAACTGTGTGCTTGTACATTGTGTGTTCACGGTTACAGGTTATAATCATCAGAATAATAAGTATAATAAGTAAGAAATAGATCTCAGAATAGGTATAATATCTAGGAGGATATCATTTTGAAAGAAACAAGAGTGCAATTAACATCTGAGAGCCAATTTAATTTATCACCTTAATACAATAGCATTAATGAATAAATGCAAAAGAGCTTGCCCTCCTAATTTATAAGTTAAATCAAATTTCAAGTATTAAAATGTGCATCATCATCCTTTTTCTACATTTTTAGTTTTCTTGCTAGGTTGACTATAAATAAATTTATAGTCTTTTCAAAGTCTATTTAAGAAATTAATATAGGTGCATACTTACATGAAATTTGATCCTCATCTGGTTTAACCACTTCAAAATTAATCTTTCACCAAGCCTGTCTAATTACATTGCCAAATATAGGTCAAAAGGTTAAATAATAGAATACTAAGATAATGAAAATATGTAGAAAAAAAGTACAGCTGGGGCTGGGAAGGTGGCTCAGTGGTAAAGCACTTGCCTTGCATGCCTGAGGCCCTGGGTTCAATTCCTCAGCACCACATAAGCAAAAAGAAAAAAGTTGAAAGTGGCACTGTGGCTCAAGTGGTAGAGCGCTAGCCTTGAGCTGAAGAGCTGAGGGACAGCGCCCAGGCCAGAGTTCAGGCCCCACGGCCAGACCCAAAAAGAAGAAAAAAGAAAGAAAGAAAAAAGTACAGCTAGACCACATTATACGGAGTAAATGTTCTTTATAGATGTCATATCTATTTGCTAAGTTATTGTCAAAATACCAGCTTCTTAAGACTATCACAGTAAGGTGATAGACAAATGGAAAATGTAAGGAACAGTGAAACAATAGAGTTTATGTCAGTGATTTCACATCATTTATCTTCCATACAAGGAAAGAGTTTCAAAAAAAATACTCATAAAGCCTTTAAGGTCTACACACACACACACACACACACATACACACACACACACACACACACACACACACACACACACACACACACACTCAGTATGTGCTCTGAGATCTGCAGTGAGCATTATCTTTATAGATTGAAATGGCTAGTGGATTTGTACAGGCCAATAAGATCAATGGACACATGAATGGATGAAAGATTTGACAGGTACATTTTAGGAAGTTGACTGTGCAATGATTTTCCAGTAGAACAGACTGGAAGATGGAGAAACACCAGAGAGATCTTAGGGTGTGATCCAAGGCAATCTGGTTGCAGACATCTTTTTCTTTCTAGAGCAAGAGAATGTTTCCCTTAAACCTTCCATTGATTAGATGAAGCTCAGCCATACTATAAAGGAAAATTTCTTGATGGAGGAATTTCTTTATGCTTCATATACTAATTGCATCTAAAATACTTTTCCAGGAACAAATGTATCAAGTCAAATCATATCCTAGGAAAGTAGATATATAAAAATTGCCCATCACAATGCTACAGCAGGTAGAATAGACAATCATAGATTTGGAAAGCCTTGGCAAAACCATCCAGGTATTTAATTTCTAGACAGGGGAAAAGGATGCTTTAAAAGACAAGTGTTGTTTCAAGTTTTTCTATGTAAGTT